ATATATATATATATTTATATATATCTTGAAATTGATATTCAGTCAATAGTCGAAATAAAAGAAAACAAATAAATACAAATATTTATTTATAATATACGTTTCGGCACGGATTGTGTGTCATCATTCAGCAATTGTTTCCACAATGATCTCAACATTCCATATATTGTGGATTTTATACGATTATTTAAAATGGCAGTGTGAAATTAAAAAAAAAGTGTAATATCCACTGACTTTACAATATTTACTTATTACGTATTACGTACCATTTCCCACGTATATATTATAGAATGATCAATAGCCCTCTTTATATAGGTATTATATATATATATATATATATATATATATATATATATACATATATGTTAAAGAAGTTAGTTTTGATGTTGAGAAATATGAGTAAGTTCTTCGAGGGCATACATCAAATAAAAGGCAAAGATTTAGAAGTTAATCTTTAATTTTTTCTAATTAAAGATTAACTTCTAAATCTTTGCCTTTTATTTGATGTATGCCCTTGAAGAACTTACTCATATATATATATATATATATATATATATATATATATATATATATTTATATATATCTTGAAATTGATATTCAGTCAATAGTCGAAATAAAAGAAAACAAATAAATACAAATATTTATTTATAATATACGTTTCGGCACGGATTGTGTGTCATCATTCAGCAATTGTTTCCACAATGATCTCAATATTCCATATATTGTGGATTTTATACGATTATTTAAAATGGCAGTGTGAAATTAAAAAAAAAAGAGTAATATCCACTGACTTTACAATATTTACTTATTACGTATTACGTACCATTTCCCACGTATATATTATAGAATGATCAATAGCCCTCTTTATATAGGTATTATATATATATATATATATATATATATATATATACATATATGTTAAAGAAGTTAGTTTTGATGTTGAGAAATATGAGTAAGTTCTTCGAGGGCATACATCAAATAAAAGGCAAAGATTTAGAAGTTAATCTTTAATTTTTTCTAATTAAAGATTAACTTCTAAATCTTTGCCTTTTATTTGATGTATGCCCTTGAAGAACTTACTCATATATATATATATATATATATATATATATATATATATATTTATATATATCTTGAAATTGATATTCAGTCAATAGTCGAAATAAAAGAAAACAAATAAATACAAATATTTATTTATAATATACGTTTCGGCACGGATTGTGTGTCATCATTCAGCAATTGTTTCCACAATGATCTCAACATTCCATATATTGTGGATGTAATTAGCAGCAATAGCCTTCACCATCACTTAAAACTGGAATCACACCCAAATCACATAGTTTCAGCACTACTCGAGATCCCTAATTCTAGAAGACTGAAGACGAAATTTCCATATGATTTATATTAATTTATTTAATTAACTAATTAGTTAACTGATCAATAGAACAGTTTTCTATTCTATTTTTATATTTATTATTATTATTATTTATTTATTATTATTATTATTATTTTTTTCTTTTTATAATTTTCATGATTATTATTTCTATTTATTTGTCATTATTATTATAGTTAGTTATTTATTTTTAGCTATTTATTATTATTATTATTATTATTATTTGTTTTTTTTCCTTTACTTTACATTATAGATTTGTTTAGATTATGTTCTCACTATAGCTCATAGAATTACTTTCTTTATTCTGATTGTTACATAAAAATTTAATAAAAAAAAAAAAAAAATCAGCAATTTTTGTTAACAGTATCTAAAAAATATTTACAAAGTTTAAAAAATAAATTTAATATTATATTTAAAATAATTAAAAGATATACATACCACACCAGGAAAAACATTTTTTTCATAATTACATATAGAAAACTAGTGGGGTGGGTGGCATCGTGCCTTAAGGCAAATTGCTGGAACTTCCCGTACCGTAACGAAATGTTCGAGGTGGTCGAACAATTGTATCTATACATACATACACACACACACATCCATTTTTTCTTAAGTATGCCAAAATGTTCAGAAACCTTCAAAACGTCGAGAAATGTAAAAATTTTCAATTCCGATTTTCGGCCCATTACAATAACTTACCCTACGGGAAGTTAATAAACCATACATACATTACATATAAAATAAATATAGAAAATAAACATATTAAGTGAACATGTTTTGTTTTTAATTTTAAAATTTAATTTTTGATTTTTTGAATTGCAAATGTGTTGATTCATTCTATTGTAAATATATTTCGAACTTTTACCAATATAAAAACAATCACAATCATTGCAATGCACTTTGTAAACAACATCAGTAATACGCTCAACAGGAATTCTAGACTTTAGAGGAGTGAAAAGTGAGTTTAAAGTATTGTCAAAATTAAAAACTAACAAAAACCTTCATTTGAAACCAATTTTTTTAGAAAAAGTGAAAAACTACCTAATACCGTTCACCCCCTGAGTCCTTCCTTTAGAGGTCTCCCATACAAAAGTTGCATCATTTTGGGTGCTTCAACATGACAAAAATTTAATTTTTATCATGTAATATAAGATTAATTTTTATCATAAAATTTATTTAATCATAACAGTATGTAAATGAAACTATGTAAAACTCATAAATTATTGTTTGAAGTCTTTTTTGGTTTCTCTGATATCGTCGCCGTAACAGCCTCTAGCTAGCAAAGAAACGCAGAGCAAAATGCATTGGAAAAATTAAAACAAAGAATTTTAATAATATTTTTTTGTGAAAAAGTTTTTTGTGTGTGTATAAATTAATATCTAAAAAAATGGTTTAAAAAAACAAAAATGTTTTGCTGTGTAAAATACCAAAAACGATGATTTTTTGCAATTTTTGTATGAAAAACCTCTAAGGGGAGGTTCCAGGCCTTTCAAAGTTAGTTGGGAATTGACATACATTTTAACGCGATTGAACTTTAAATGGGTTGAACAGAATTTTACAAAATTCAACCCCTATCTTTATGTAAATGCACGACACATCAAAATTAATTTTAAAAGTATCGTTTCTTCAGTAAAGTATCGTATATTGATCCCTAGTATCCAAAAATCATATGTGCCTAATCGACTTTAAGTCACATATAAACCTAAATTTGTACACTATATATAGTAAGTTTGTGTATGTATGTATACATAAACATTAAACCTGTATGAACCGAAAAAGTTCACCAGGGGAAATCGTGATTCTGTTTCTATGGGATATTCAAAAACTTTATTAGAAATTTTGCTGGCTTCAAATTCACATCCAAGCTATGGCTTCTTCAGCAATGTTTCTGGAAATAACCAGAATTGGAAAGTATCCATGTGAATTTTGTTGATTTCGGCTGCTCATAATTTGACCTGCTTAATATATGTTTCAGCTTAATATATTTCTAGGTGGTGTTTCCTCAATAAAACCTTTCCATTAAATGAATCTTATTGCAATATCACGATTGTGTAAGACTTATTTATTTACCTAAACCTTTATGAACACATGCCAGTCAAAACGGTTTATAGAACATGTTCCGGCTCTTATTATAAATCATATACATCCGTGTATACGCTAACTGCCTCTTTGAAAACTTGGTATATTTATAACATTTGCCTAACGCATAAAGTTTCAAACGCAATATTTCTTAACTTTTTCCCATAACTTCATAAATAGGCTGACGAGCCGAATTTAATGCAATATACACATTACTTATTTTTAACACATCAGGAATATACTTTGGAAAAAATCAAGCTAGGGGTGTATGGTATCGTGCCTTAAGGCAAATCACTAGAACTTCTCGTACAGTAGTGAAATATTCAAGGAATATTAAATATGTTCAAACAGATTTTTATAAATACTGTAACTTTCAATATTCTTATTTTATAGACAAAAAATAAATATTGCAAAGTTAAAATTATTGGAGCTTTAGAACTTTAGCTAGAATTAAAATTAAAATCCAAATTATCTTCGATATTCAAATAAAAAATAACGCATGTTTCGTTCTCTCAAAAACTCGATTGTTATTTTCTGCACTCTTTGCACCGCATCTCCAAAATCGCTGGACCTGCCTTTGCCAAAAACTAATCATTACATCTCCCTATCAATAAAAATCGAATGTTTTTTGAATCATTCAAATCGGTTGATCAGTGCGCCCGAAAACGTAGTTTAAAAATTGTATCCACACATGCATACATACACACACACATCCATTTTTGACAAAATGTTCAGAAACCTTCAAAACATGAAGATATGCAAAAATTTCGATTTTTGGACGATTACAATAACTTATACTACAAAATGTGAATAATATCTTCTATATATTCTTTATATATTATATAAAAAATTTATGCCTTTGTGTGTGTAATTGATATGAATTCATAAACCATACATCCGCCGTGATAATTTGGAAAACTGTTGGGTACATCCCCAGGCAGGTTTTTGCATATTTTGATTAAAACCTTCAAGTGGTAAGGGTTGGCCACCATGAAGAACTTTTAATTTTTTGGGTCAATTTTTAATTTTATATTTCTTTATAATACGTATTTCAAAACACATATAACCCTTTTGCATCTTCTTACCACAAACCTACATCATTTTTCATCTCATACTTCTGTAAATGAAATTACAGATTTCTTATAGTTTCCAGCAATAATTATCAAACTTAATGCTGGCAAAACAGAAGAAATGGAGAGTAAATATGTTTGCAAATTACTGCTGGAAGCTGCGTAAAAATACCCAACAGAAATGAAAAAAGCGTTGCAGAAATCCGTTGCACAAGTCAACTAAAAAGAAAAAGACCAGAAGACGACATAAATCATAAGATTTTAATTATCATGTAGAAAATTTTCTAGACCAGAGATTTTGACGTTTTTTATATTGTCGTTTTTTTGCAGTTAAACCCTCAATTTTGACTTTAGATTCGTTTTAGATTATTTTCAATAATCAATAATAATTATTATTAATTATTAAGTATTAATCATTCATAAAATAATATTCATTTAAAACTGAAAGTATATTCATTAATTACCTGGAAAGCGGCGTTGAAGTTGTGAGCGACAGTGAGCGTGACGGCATGGGCCATCTTGCGCTTTCCGCAGAGGATGGCGTGGCATTCGTTGGTCTCGTTGCTGTTGGTCGCTATGAAGGCGAACACGTGGTCGTGAGCGGCGTCCGCCGAACAATACGGGATGCTGCAACAATATATATAGAAAACTAGCTGTAAGTGGAATTCTGTCTTAAGGCAATTAAGGCATCGTGCCTTAAGGCAAATTGCTGGAACTTCCCGTACCAATTTTTTTTTTAAAACGATTAACATTTTTGAAAAAAATTTACTTCAAAAAAATAAGATTTTTGAGAAACTATAAATTGGACCAAAAATTACTTTTTTTTGAAAAAAAAATTTAAAAAAAAAATAAATTTTTTTTTTAATATTTTTTTTTTGAAAAAAAAAGTTTTCTTTATTTTGACATATTTTGGAAGTACTGCTTTAACTGCATAAAGACGAAATATCAAAGCGCGTAAGCGCCGCGTCGCCGTCTAACGCGTAAACATTAGTACGGAACCCATAGGACTGTAAACCAAATTCATACTTATTGTTAAAATCTCTATAAAATATCTGATAATTTGATGTGCATAAGTCTAATGATCATTTCTGACCGCCAAATGGCATTTTTTTTACTTTTTTCATTAGATCTCCGAAACCGCTAGACCTGCCTTTATGAAAATTTGATCGGTTCTTCACCTTGTCAATATAAGTAAAATGTTTTTTAAATTATTAAAATCGGACGCTCCGTTCTCTTAAAAACTGAGTTACCGTTTTCGGCACTTTTTGCCCCGTATCTTCGGAACGGCTAGACCTCCCTGCGCCAAAAACTAATCAGCACGTCTCCTTATAAATACGAATCGAATGTTTTTTGAATTATTCAAATCGGTTGATCCGTGTTCCCGAAATCGTCAACGTGTGTGTATGTATGTATGTACGTGTGTGTATGTATGTATGTACGTGTGTGTATGTATGTGCGGATACAAATTTTCGTCGACGATTTCGGCAACACGGTCCAACCGATTCCAATAATTCGATTCCTAAGGAGACGTGCTGATTAGTTTCTGGTAAAAGCAGGACAAGCCGTTTTGGAGATACGAGGCAAAAAGTGCCAAAATGGTATTTCAGTTTTTGAGAGAACGAAGCGTCCCATTTGTATGATTATAAAAACATTTTACTTGTATTGACAATATGAACAACTGGTGAAATTTTTGGAAAGGCAGGTCCAGTGTTTCCGGAGATTCAATAAAAATAGTAAACTTGTGGTGCATGGCATGCCTTAACCCTTTCAGGACGGTATTAAAAAATCGGTTTGTGTAATATGTGTAATGTGTGTAAAATATATATATATGTTAAAATAAAAATCGAAAAAAAAAATGATTTTAGAAGTTAGAGGGGTGGCTAGTGAGGCTGGTTAACCGTTGTACCATCCGTTCTTTTTGTTGGTGCACATTTGGACCAACCGTCCTATAAAAACAATAAAAAAATGTTTGCTAGTACGTATGTGTGCCACTAATCTAATTTAGTAATAAATACAAAATGTGCGGAACATAGCTATTATTGCCGTGCTTTGTTGTCCACTGCAATTACTAACGACCACCAAAAAATGCAAGTAGTTTTCATATTTTGTTAAAAAAAATACTATAATTTTTGCAACGTGGACTGGGCGCACAAAATAAAACGCGACTGGTTCTAAACTAAATGATGTTTTATGGGCAATATGTGTTTTATATAACAGTTAAGCACTTACATTACGTTATTGCATAAATTGCATTGTCCTCATACATAAATTCAACTGTCTAGAAATTTTTAAACTTTGTGGTACGTATATTTGTAGTACCAAAAATTAAATTGCAGTATAACGAATAAACATAGATTCGGAACCCATAGAAAAGTACACAAAATTTGTTCTAATTATTAAAATATCTATAAAATATGTGATAATTTGATGTGCATATGCCTAATGATCATTTTTGCCCGCCAAATGGCATTTTTTGTCTTTTTTTATTCTCCTTATATGGATCTCCGAAACCACTAGACCTGTCTGCCCAGAAATTTCATTAATTCGTCAATGCAAATAAAATATTTTTTGAATCATACAAATCCGACGCTCCGTTCTTCAAAAAAACAATTACCATTTTTAGCACTTTTTGCCCCGTATCTTGGAAACGGCTCAACATGCCTTTCTCCTTATCATTATGAAACAAATGTTTTTTGAATTATTCCAATCGGTTAATCCGAGTTCCCAAAATTTGTATCCGCACACACACACACACTATGTGTATACATTCATTTTTTCTAAAATATGCCAAAATGTTCAGAAGACCTGAAAACGTAAAGATATACAAAAATTATTGTTTTCGATTTTTTTACGATCACTATTTCTCTGCGGAAAGTTAATAATCTGTTGGATAGGTAGATCATATACAAATCAAATATTTATTGATTTAATCAATATTTACACATATCGGGAAGTTAATGCAACTTGCCTTATGGGTAAATGCCACTTACACCTAGTTTTTTTTTTATTTTTACGTGAGTAAAAATTTAAAGTTTATTAATTTCCAAAACATATTTGTTTCTATTCTTCAAATTGGAATAAAATATGTGTTTTACTACTTTTATTATATTATAAATTATATACTATTTTATAATATCAAACATTTATTATATGTATTATATATCGCAAAATTGATATCAGTTCCTACTAGTAAATCAATTATTAGGGATATAATACATACAACAACAACGTGATATAAAGATAAAGCAAATTATTATATATCATTAAAAATATCATCTTTCTATTATTCGCAGAATATTGAAAATACCGGATATGCAACGTCATTACATAATATGCTATGTAATATAGATAAAAATATTCTAAAAACTGATTAGAACTATAATAGAATAATAAATGATTACAATATTAATTATGCAAAATACTTAAATAGATAATTCATTTCAATTTATAATGAAAAATTTTGAAAACAATCTTCGACTAGCTTATTAGAAATGCAATAATTATTCATAAATTAAAAAATACTAATATTTAGTGTGAATATATTTTTAAGTCCTCCTGGAGCTACTCTGTGGGCTATATGATAAATAAACTAGTGGAGCGCATAGCATCGTGCCTTAAGGCAAACCGCTAGACCTGCCTTCATGAAATTTTGATCAATTCTTCATCTTGTCAATACAAGTAAAATGTTTTTTGAATTATTAAAATCGGACGCTCCGTTCTCTTAAAAACTGAGTTACCATTTTTGGCACTTTTTGCCCCGTATCTTCGGAACGGCTAAACCTGCCTTCGCCAAAAACTAATCAGCACGTCTCCTTATCAATGCAAATCGAATGTTTTTTGAATTATTCAAATCGGCTGATCGGTGTTCCCGAAATCGTCGACGAAAATTTGTATCCGCATACACATACACACACGTTCTCATAAAAACTGAGTAACCATTTTTGGCACTTTTTGCCCCGTATCTTCGAAACGGCTAAACCTGCCTTCGCCAAAAACTAATCAGCACGTCTCCTTATCAATGCGAATCGAATGTTTTTTGAATTATTCAAATCGGTTGATCGGTGTTCCCGAAATCGTCGACAAAAGTTTGCATCCACATACACATACACACACGCACACACACACATACACACACACATACACACACACATACATCAATTTTTTCTAAGGTATGCCAAATTATTCATAAACCTTTGAACCGTAAAGATATATAAAAATTTTCATTTTCGATTTTTTTTCCCTACAGGAAGTTAATAAATAAATAAATATTACTGAAACAACTAAAGGTAAGAATTTCTATCTGTGAGAAAGCTAACACATATCATGTTAATGTAAAGCACTGATTGAAAGCAATAATGGAAACTTGTTGAAACAAACATACTACATAATTTTTCCTTTGGACTCTGTCTCAGAATCAGTATAGTTTAGCTGTTATGACAACTGTCACAACCGTACCCAATCTCTCCTATATATAATAATTACAAAATGGTTTTGGTATACTATATACACATTTCAATTGTATCATAAGAAATAATAAAAGGAGTAAAAGTACAAAAAATCTGAATAAAAAAATCATTAAACGAAATGACATAAATAAAATACAATTCATATTATATGTATATATTGTAAAAAATAAAACTGTCGCCTGTGTAATATAAGCAAACAACAACTTTGAAAATTGTTTTATTTTGTAGCGTGTCGTCAAACTTTGCTGAGAAGTGCGTTGCGGAAATTGTTGAAAGTGTGTTCCGGAAAAATATGATTGAAAATCGCCGATGTGGAATATTATTATCGGTATTAGTATCTGACAATTAATTATTTTATATAACAATTACCAATTCTGATATTCAATTGACACTGACAAATTGCGTACAAATGACAAAAGACTGAGCAAAATATCTGATATCTGGAAACTCATCAAGGAGCAGTAACTGAAAATTTTTACGAAGAAAAGATTCTAAAAATAATATATTAATATGCTTGTGATAATACAATTAAATACTTGCTATGATACATAATTATAAATACGCTACATAAAACTTTTTTATATTCAGCATTCACATAACATATTTAATTATTAACTTCCCTAGGGTAAGTTATAGAAATCGCAAAAAATCGAAAATGAAAATTTTTACATATCTTTACGTTCCAAAGGTTTCTGGCATACCATTAGAAAAAATAGATGTATGTGTGTGTGTATGTGTGTATGTGTGTGTGTGTGCGGATACAAATTTTCGTTGACGATTTCGAGAACACGGTTCAACCGATTTTAATTATTCACAAAACATTCGATTGCTGTTGATAAGGAGACGTGGTGATTAGTTTCTGGCATAGGCAGGTCTAGCCGCTTCAAAGATACGGGGCAAAAAGTGCCACAAACGGTAACTCAGTTTTTAAGAGAATGGAACGTCCGATTTTAATAATTCAAAAAATATTTTACTTGTATTGACAAGAAAAATGATCATTAGAAATATGCACATCAAATTATCAGATATTTTATAAAGATTTTAACAATAAGTATAAATTTTGTTTACATTCCTCTGTGTTCCGTACCAATGTTTATCCGTTAGACGGCGACGCGGCGCTTACGCGCTTCAATAATTCGTCTCTATGCAGTTAAAGCAGTACGACTGCTGTGAAAAAAAGTTCAGAATTTCCAAAATATTAAAAAATAAAGATTTTTCAAAAAGTCTTTTTTTTCTAAAAAGTAAATTTTTGTCAAAAATTTATAGTTTCTCAAAAATCTACTTTTTTTAAAGTAAATTTTTTTCAAAAATGTTAATCTTTAAAAAAAAAAAATTGTACGGGAAGTTCCAACAACTTGCCTTAAGGCACGATGCCATGCGCCCCACTAGTTATATTAATTTACTTGATATCACTTTAATTATTATAGATATTAATTTTCTTACCGATAAATGGAGACTTCCATGATTTGCTCCCCGGTCGATGGGTTGGTCATCTCGATGCCTCTTTGGGAAACGCTAAGAGCCACGCGCGGTAACTTTTTGCCGCTAGCTGCAGACACAAAATTTGATTTAGTTTGAAACCATATTTGACTTAACATAAACATTTTTAAGAAAACAAGGGAGATTGAGTACGGTTGTGTCACTTTTTTGACAGCATTAATTTTGTTGATTAACCGGTTAGTTGGAAGAAAAGTAATTTAAATGGTTATGTGAACATTTGTCTACGTGGAAATACTGAAATACTCCCTTAAATAAGATGGATTAGTCATAATATCGAATCATATAAGAAAAGGTCTGCCACAACCGTCCACACCCCTAAGACGGTTGTGAAAGGCATAAACATAGGTTAAAAAACAATAGGTATAATACACCAATATAGGTACAAACATCACAATGATTTATAATGACTTTTATTGTTGTTAATAATAATGATATGTATATTATATTTTTAACTTCCCGTAGGGCAAGTTATAGTAATCGCAAAAAAATCGAAAATGAAAATTTTTATATATATTTACGTTTCAAAACCTTCTGAACATTTTGGCATACCTGTGCGGATACAAATTTTCGTCGACGATTTCGGAAACACGGATCAACCGATTTGAATAATTCAAAAAACATTCGATTCGTGTTGATAAGGAGCCGTGCTGATTAGTTTTTAGCGAAGGCAGGTCTAGCCGTTCCAAAGATACCGGGTAAAATGTGCCAAAAATTAACTCAGTGTTTAAGCAAACGGAGCGTCCAATTTTAATAATTCAAAAAAACCTTACACTTGTATTGACAAGATGAAGAATTGATCAATTTTTCATGAAAGCAGGCCGAGCGGTTTCGGAGATCTAATGAAAAAAGTAAAAAAAATGCCATTTGGCGGTCAAAAATGATATTATATAGAGATTTAACAATAAGTATAAATTTTGTTTACATTCCTATGGATTCCGTACCAATGTTTATCCGTTAGACGGCGACGCGGCGCTTACGCGCTTTGACATTTCGTCTCTATGCAGTTAAAGCAGTACGATTGTTTGAAAAAAAGTTCAGAATTTCCAAAATATGTCAAAATAAAGAAAACATTTTTTTTTCAATAATTTTTTTTTTCAAAAAAAAAGTAATTTTTTGTCAAATTTATTGTTTTTCAAAAATCTATTTTTTTTAAGAAATATTTATTCAAAAATTTTAATCGTTTTTAAAAAAATAATAATTTTTGGTACGGGAAGTTCCAGCAATTTGCCTTAAGGCACGATGCCTTGCGCCCCACTAGATTATCAATAATTTTATCAGACAGTGGAAAGAAGTCAAATTTTTAGCTAATGCTGATGCTAAATGTTTGTATAACGTCTTGTCAAGAAATGACAAAACATTTTGCCGAAACCAGGGATCGAACCAGGGACCTTTAGATCTTCAGTCTAACGCTCTCCCAACCAAGATATTTCGGCTGCACAAGTGCCATTGTAAATACCAGAGGAGACAGCAGAAAGAAGTCAAATTTCTAGAAAATGCTGATGCTAAACGTTTGTATAACATTTTGTCAAAAAATGACAAAACATTTTGCCGAAACCAGGGATCGAACCAGGGACCTTTAGATCTTCAGTCTAACGCTCTCCCAACTGAGCTATTTCGGCTGCACAAACGACACTGTAAAGACCAGAGGATACAGCAGAAAGAAGTCAAATTTCTAGACAATGCTGATGCTAAATGTTTGTATAACATCTTGTCAAAAAATGACAAGACATTTTGCCGAAACCAGGGATCGAACCAGGTACCTTTGGATTTTCAGTCTAACTCCCAACTGAGCTATTTCGGCTACACAAACGACACTGCAAAGATCAGAGGAGACAGAAAAAAGAAGTCAAATTTCTAGAAAATGCTGATGCTAAATGTTTGTATAACATCTTGTCAAGAACTGACAAAAGATTTTGCCGAAACCAGGAATCGAACCAGAGACCTTTAGATCTTCAGTCTAACGCTCTCTCAACTGAGCTATTTCGGATGCACAAAGTACACAAATTTCTAGAAAATGCTGATGCGAAATGTTTGTATAACATCTTGTCCAGAAATGACAAAACATTTTGCCGAAACCAGGAATCGAACCAGGGACCTTTAGATCTTCAGTCTAACGCTCTTCCAACCAAGATATTTCGGCTGCACAAGTGCCATTGTAAAGACCAGAGGAGACAGCAGAAAGAAATCAAATTTCTAGAAAATGCTGATGCTAAATGTTTGTATAACATTTTGTCAAAAAATGACAAAACATTTTGCCGAAACCAGGAATCGAACCAGGGACCTTTAGATCTTCAGTCTAACGCTCTTCCAACCAAGATATTTCGGCTGCACAAGTGCCATTGTAAAGACCAGAGGAGACAGCGGAAAGAAATCAAATTTCTAGAAAACGCTGATGCTAAATGTTTGTATAACATTTTTTCAAAAAATGACAAAATTTTGCCGAAATCAGGGATCGAACCAGGGACCTTTAGATATTCAGTCTAACGTTCTCCCAACTGAGCTATTTCGGCTGAATAAAATGCACTGTAAAGACCAGAGGAGACAGCGAAAAGAAGTCAAATTTCTAGAAATTGCTGATGCTAATTGTTTGTGTAACGCCTTGTTCAAGAAATGACAAATGATTTCGCCGAAACCAGGGATCGAACCAGGGACCTTTAGATCTTCAGTCTAACGTTCTCCCACCTGAGCCATTTCGGATGCTGAAAATACACAAATTTCTAGAAAATGCTGATGCTAAATGTTTGTATAACGTCTTATCAAGAAATGACAAAAGATTTTGCCGAAACCAGGGATCCCAACTGAGCTATTTCGGCTGTTTAAAACTAACTGTTTTAAAGACCAGAGGTAACAGCGAAAAGAAATCAAATTTCTAGAAAACGCTGATGCTAAATGTTTGTATAACATCTTGTCAAGAAATGACAAAAGATTTTGCCGAAACCAGGGACCTTTAGATCTTCAGTCTAACGCTCTCCCAACTGAGCTATTTCGGCTGCACAAACGACACTGACCAGAGGAGACAGCGGAAAAAAGTCAAATTTCTAGAAATTGCTGATGCTAAATGTTTGTGTAACGTCTTGTTCAAGAAATGACAAATGATTTTGCCAAAACCAGGGATCGAACCAGGGACCTTTAGATCTTCAGTCTAACGCTCTCCCACCTGAGCCATTTCGGATGCTGAAAATACACAAATTTCTAGAAAATGCTGATGCTAAATGTTTGTATAACGTCTTATCAAGAAATGACAAAAGATTTTGCCGAAACCAGGGATCCCAACTGAGCTATTTCGGCTGTTTAAAACTAACTGTTTTAAAGACCAGAGGTAACAGCGAAAAGAAATCAAATTTCTAGAAAACGCTGATGCTAAATGTTTGTATAACATCTTGTCAAGAAATGACAAAAGATTTTGCCGAAACCAGGGATCGAACCAGGGACCTTTAGATCTTCAGTCTAACGCTCTCCCAACTGAGCTATTTCGGCTGCACAAACGACACTGTAAAGACCAGAGGAGACAGAAGAGAGAAGTCAAATTTCTAGAAAATGCTGATGCTAAATGTTTGTATAACATCTTGTCAAGAAATGACAAAAGATTTTGCCGAAACCAGGGATCGAACCAGGGACCTTTAGATCTTCAGTCTAACGCTCTCCCAACTGAGCTATTTCGCCTGCACAAACGACACTGTAAAGACCAAAGGAGACAGAAGAAAAAAGTCAAATTTCTAGAAAATGCTGATGCTAAATGTTTATATAACATCTTGTCAAGGAATGACAAAATATTTTGCCGAAACCAGGGATCTTTAGATCTTCAGTCTAACGCTCTCCCAACTGAGCTATTTCGGCTGAATAAAATGCACTGTAAAAACCAGAGGAGACAGCGGAAAGAAGTCAAATTTCTAGAAACTGCTGATGCTAAATGTTTGTATAACGTCTTGTCAAGAAACGACAAATGATTTTGCCGAAACCAGGGATCGAACCAGGGACCTTTAGATCTTCAGTCTAACGTTCTCCCAACTGAGCTATTTCGGCTGAACAAAATGCACTGTAAAGACCAGAGGAGACAGCGGAAAGAAGTCAAATTTCTAGACAATGCTGATGCTAAATGTTTGTATAACATCTTGTCAATAAATGACAAGACATTTTGCCGAAACCAGGGATCGAACCAGGGACCTTTGGATCTTTAGTCTAACTCCCAACTGAGCTATTTCGGCTACACAAACGACACTGTAAAGACCAGAGGAGACAGAAGAGAGAAGTCAAATTTCTAGAAAATGCTGATGCGAAATGTTTGTATAATATCTTGTCAAGAAATGACAAAAGATTTTGCCGAAACCAGGGATCGAACCAAGGACCTTTAGATCTTCAGTCTAACGCTCTCCCAACTGAGCTATTTCGGCTGCACAAACGACACTGTAAAGACCAGAGGAGACAGAAGAAAGAAGTCAAATTTCTAGAAAATGCTGATGCTAAATGTTTGTGCTGAGCTTTTTGGGCTGCACAAAATACACAAATTTCTAGAAAATGCTGATGCGAAATGTTTGTATAACATCTTGTCAAGAAATGACAAAACATTTTGCCGAAACCAGGGATCGAACCAGGGACCTTTAGATCTTCAGTCTAACGCTCTCCCAACTGAGCTATTTCGGCTTCACAAACGACACTGTAAAGACCAGAGGAGACAGCGGAAAGAAATCAAATTTCTAGAAAACGCTGATGCTAAATGTTTGTATAACATTTTGTCAAAAAATGACAAAATTTTGCCGAAATCAGGGACCTTTAGATTTTCAGTCTAACGTTCTCCCAACTGAGCTATTTCGGCTGAATAAAATGCACTGTAAAGACCAGAGGAGACAACGGAAAGAAGTCAAATTTCTAGAAATTGCTGATGCTAAATGTTTGTATAATGTCTTGTCAAGAAATAACAAATGATTTTGCCGAAACCAGGGATCGAACCAGGGACCTTTAGATCTTCAGTCTAACGCTCTCCCACCTGAGCTATTTCGGCTGCAGAAAACACACAAATTTCTAGAAAATGCTGATGCTAAATGTTTGTAT